CTGGCCACACACACACACACACACACACGCACACACAAAAATAAAATAAAATAAAGAAGAAGAAAGCCAACTTAAAATTATAACAAGAGCCGGCGAGATAGCTCAGTGGACTAAGTGCCTGCTTAGCAAGCGCAGGGACCGGGGTTACCAGGGTTCCATCCCTGGCACCACATGCCACGCAGACGCTGCCCCCGGGTGCAGTGAGCCGGCCACCGAGGCTGGGTGTGGTGGTGCACGCCTGTAATCGCAGCACAGGGAAGGCTGAGACAGGAGGATCGCTATGAGCCCGAGCTGCTTGTGCAGCAAGACCCTGTACCAAGTATGTGAGAAACTACAACAGAACACTGTGTATAGCTTTTCACTAACAAAAGCTCGAACAAAACAGGCAGTTGTTAAGAGAATATAAATAACCGAGATGGGAGGTGAGGTAGGAAACTTCTAGATTCCGCAGCCATGGAAGAGATGGACACCTTAGCCCAAGCTCTGCACTGAACACCAGGCATCTGGACAAGTTAAGATGGTTTTCGAGGTTGTCAAATTTTAATTTTTTTGGCAGTGTTTAAGTGACGGCACCTCAGTGTGCTATCCAGGCCGGCCCCAAACTCCAGGCTTACCCTGCCTCCTGCCTCCCTCCCCTCCGGGACAGCGGGACCCACAAGCGCGCACCACTGTACCCGGCTCCAACTTTTAAGACACAGACTGCTTCTTTTGACTTTTTAAACTGATCTACAGAACGGAAAAAACGTGGATTGCTTCCCAAGAACAAAGCAGCAAACAAGCGACCTCGGTACTCTCGAGCCAGACTCCCTCATGAATGCCCGCATGGGGAAACGTGCTCCAGCAGGGCTCAGTGAGCAAGGGCGCTAAGGGGACTCACTGCGCGACAAAGAAGTTCAAAGCGGAATACCTTGCTGCCAGAGGCAACCAGAGTGCCTGCCAGGGGCCCGGGGAGAGAACTTGCAGTAGTTTAAATAGGGACTCGATAAACTACAGCGCAAAGGCGGCTCTGTCTGCTTTTTAAATAAAGTTTTATTGGGAGCTAGCCCGGCCCACTCCTTCCAAGGCCATTGGCAGTCTGTGTGGCCCCTCTGCCCTTGGCAACGTGTGCTGACCCTTGGATTACAGTTGACGAAATGTAAGAAAGCCACCCTAGAATCAGCCAACACACTCAAGGCTCAGGCCCAAATGCACCCGAGTCAGAGAAACCAAGAACAGCACTTGGGAATCTGGCACCAAAAAGAGCCCCTTAAAAATACCAAGGAAATGTCAGGTTTGGGGGAAAGCCACACAACTTGTACAAATGGCTAATCCAGTGGCGCAGGGAAAAGCCCGCCCCAGCATGTGAATGAAAAGCCAGGTGCTAGGGGCCGGGGAGATGGTGCAGTGGAATAAGCGCTTCCCTGGCAAGCGCAAGGGCCTGAGTTCAATCCCCGGTTCCACAAAAAAAAAAAAAAGCCAGGTGCTAACAGCATGGACCACGGCCAGTTCACAGCACAAGCCATCTGGAAGGTCAGTGCTGAGCCCAGCAAGCTGGCCCCGGGCCTGGACGCCACACAGGCCAACGTCAGGCCTGTGCCCCAGCAAGCAGCAGCCAGTGACAGACGCAACGGAGAGGTACTAAGAAGGACGCCGCCTCTCTGCATGGGGCAGAGGAGAGGAGGCCCTGCCAGTTGAGCCGGTGGGAACAAGGCCGACAGATGAGTTGGTGCTGTGAGCAACTGGGCGGCCTGCGGCCAAGATCTGCACAACACGCACACCTGGATGGAGCCCCAGCGCCACCTTGAAGGCCTCCTCCGGTCTCAAAGGCTTGGATGTGCATCACGGCATCACTGAAGGGGAGGGCGGAGGCGGCTGGCACATGCCTGTCGTCCAGCACCGGGGAGGCTGAGGCAGCCCAGCCTGGGCTACACAGCGGGCGGGTTCAAAGCCAGCCTGAACTACACAGTGAAATCTTAAGGAAGGAAGAAGGGAAGAAAGGAAGACATAAAGAGAGGGAAGGAGGTAGGGAGGGAGAGAAACAGAGGGAGGAGGAAGGGAGGAGACCAGCAGGGGGAAGGGGAGAAAAGAATAAATGAAAGGAGAAAAAAACCTCAATTTCCACCTCCTGAGGGCTGGCTAAGTCTGTAAGGGCTGCGAAAGACTGAGGCGGTGACAGCACTGGCCTAGCCTAGCGGGCGGCAGCATAGCGGGTGACAGCACTGGCGTAGCAGTGCCTGCTAACAGCAGTTGCTAACAGCAAGGGGCCGAAGGGTGTTCAGACAGCACCGAGGCATTCCCTGCAAGTAGCACGACACCAAGCTGTGTTTTTCTTTTTCTTTTCTTTTTCTTTTTTTTTTTTTTTTTTTTTGTGGAACTGGGGATTGAACTCAGGCCCTTGTTCTTGCCAGGCAAGTGCTTATTTTACTGAGCCATCTCCCCAGCCCCATCTTTTTCTTTATATTATTTTTATTTCTTAATTTTTTTCCCCTCTACATTTAAAATAAACTGTTTTGTTCTGATTTCATGCTTTTTTTTTTTTTCTGGTCTCTGAGACAGGGTTTTGCCTGCAGTTCAGGCTGACCTTGAGCTCACTTTGTAGCCCATACTGGTCTCGAACTCACAACGATCCTACTTTAGCTTCCCGAGTGCTGGGATTACATACATGCGCCACCACACCTGGCTTTTGCTTACCTATTTTTTAAAGCTTTTCTGTGCAACTATGCATCATCTGCACAAAAATGAAGCCCCCCAAGTGTGACAAAAATGACAATGCACCCTTCCTGCACGGTTTCAGGTAGGCGCCACTGGGGCCCATCTTGTCCCAAGTGCAGGGGACCACAGGACACTTACGTACAATCTGCCCCGCTGGCAGCACTTGCTCCCGTGTGTCGTTGTGGGAGGCTGGTACAGCTGCGGGGAGAGAGCACGTCAGCCAGGTCTGCTGGGACACGCTCCGGCGGCCCCCCACCTTCCCTGGCTCCTGGCCCTCCCCAAGCCCAGCCTCACGGTAGCAGTGTGGGAAGCCCATGAAGCCCTCAGCACACGCGCTGCAGCGCTCGCCAGTGAAGTTCGGCCGGCAGTAGCAGCGGCCGGTCAGGTCCTCACACGTCCCATCAGTGAAAGCCGACTCACAGTTGCAGCCTGGACAGGTTGGGATCGGGACTCTGTGAGACACGAAGTCCAGAACTGCAGGACCCAGGAGCTGGCTCTAAGCAACAGCAGCCTCTGCCTACCTCACCGGGGCAGCCCTGCAGCTCAGCGCATCCCTTAACGCAGGTCCCCAAACCCAGGGACGGGGCCCAGGCCAAGCCCACTCACGGAGACAGGCGTGCGGGGAATCAAGAGAGTGGTCGGGGGATCGGTAGAAGCCGGGCAGGCAGCGCTCACAGTTGATGCCGGTGGTGTGATGCTGTGGAGGCATCGCTGTGAGTCTAGGCCCCGCACAGCCGCCTCTGCCCACCGCACCCCCTCCCAGCGGCCAGCCCACCTGGCAGTCGATGCACACCCCCCCACCCTGGTACACATTGTCCTGGTTCTGGCTGGCATTGCGCTTGTCCACCTCAGGGTCATAGTAACAGTCCTGGGCATGGCCATGGCAGTTACAGGCTGGAGAGGAGAGGACACAGTGGTCAGCATGCCCGCTGGGCCGCAGGCCATCACCGTGGTGCCAACAGCAGGGCATGTGAGTAGACACCAGGAGACTCACACTGGCACTCGTTGGCACTGTCAGTGGTGGCCGGCTTCCACGGTTGCTGGTTGAAGCCAGGGCAGCAGCGGTCACAGGAGCCCCCGCATGTGTTGTGCTGACAGGCACACTGCAGCCTGTAGGTTACACAGGGGCGCAGAGGGGCTCAGACCCCCCAGAGGTGCAGTGTTGGCCCGGGGCAGGGCTTTGGCCCCACTCGAGGGTCGGTAGCCCCATTACCTGCCATGTGGGCACAGATTCCGCCCTTACCTGCCCATCTGTCCTTGCCTGCACCCACCGTCACCCACCCACAGCTCTGCAGAGCTGCCCTCCTCTCACGGAACAGGGCGAAGGCGAATGAGCAGCAGCTGGGCAGGCTTTGGGGGAGGTCTGGCTGGGCACTCGGTGGCCAGAGCCTTGGCCCTTCCCACCAGGAGCAGGACCCGAGCCCGGGCTCCTAAGCCAGGTCCTAGAGAGAGGGACACATCTGCTCCCCAAGGCCTGACCTCATCTAGCAGGCAGTCCAGACACCCCATGTGTCAGAGCAGCTCCCTAGGGCAAGTGGCCAGCAACTGCTTCCTCTTCCAGCATGGGACAGACCCCAGGCCAGAGGGCGGGCCTCCGGCCTGCTGTTCCAGTGGCAGGGGACAGCTGACCAGAGCTAAGGACAGGGTGGAGCCATCCACTGCTGAGTGACACACGTCACAGCCCTGCACCCCAGCTTGGGCCACTCTGCCAGAGAGAGCTCTGGGTTCCAGGGTGTGGCCATGCACTTCCTGAGCAGGACCCCAGGAGCCAGCCTGAGTCTCAAGCCGCCCAACCCTAAGCCTGTCATCCAGCGCATCCTCCAGGCCTCAGGAAGAAGCCAGGAACATCTGGAAAGGCCATATCCTCAAAAGGGGAACTAGGAAACGCACTGCCACCAGCGGAGGTGATCAGCAGGCGGCCGTACATCCTGACCCCAACCCCAAGGGTGGGAGCCCAGGGCCCGCAGCTGGGGTTCATGTCTCAATTATGTAAATGGCCCAGGACCCCTAAACTAACCCAGGGTAGCAACACCCCATGTTTGGTATAAGCTCTACAAAGTGACCCTGCAAAGCTTCTCCCCTTCTAGGCAGCAGGGAGCATGCGGAGAAGGCCCTGCTAAGGTCAGCTGTGGGGAGACAACGCGGAAGGGCCCAGCTCGGCGGGGAGCTCGCCAGAGCCCAAGAGCTGTTCAGTGGAGTGGTCTGGCAGGAGCAGTAAAGGCATGTTTAAACTGGTGATAAACAAAGCACTCCCAAACACGAGATGACACAATGCTACGAAAAAGCAGGTGTGGGGGGCAGGGCAGAGCTCAGCTTGGCTCCCAGCAAACCATGTCCAAGACAGCCACAGGGAACACCCAGGACAGGGTGCTCACAGGGGATGGGACGAGACCAGAGTCCCAGGAACAGTGCAGGGAGGCGGCTGGCAGGCACCGATAGGGAAATGCCATGGTGCTCCCTGGCAGCAACAAGCACAGCCAGGGCCACTGCGCTCACACCACGCGCCGCTCAGAGGCAGCAGGGAAGCTCACTTTGTTAGGTAGGCCTAAGAAAAAGCAGGGGCTGCCACCAAGCCAAGAAATGGAGGAAAAGTAAGGGTGCCTTAGACAGAAACTGAACAGGCGCCCTCCAGCCTGAGGAGCAGAGAAGGCAAGCAGAGAGCGGTGGCCAGCAAGGCGGGAGGCCAGAGGCGGGGCCCCTGGTGGAGTGCCAGCGGCTGGTGCCCTGGGGGCGCAGTGCAGAGAAAGCGGCCAGCTTGGCATGGTGGCCCACGCCTGTAACCTCAGCCTTTGTTTGGGACACTGAGGTAGAAAGATCGCTGGGAGTTCAAGGCCAGCCAGCACAACATAGCAAGACTCTTGTCCCAAAACAAAAATAGAAGAGCCATCTATTCCCTCTGGAGCAGAGTGGCAGAGGAGACACTGCTTGGTCTGGAGATAGTACACAGCACAGCCAGGTGACAGACTTCTGTCGGGGCCTCCGGCTCGGGGAGACACCCAGCTTGCACCACCCCTCACGCCCTGCAGGGCGGGCTGGGCTCAGTGCTCGCTGCCTGGTGCTCTCCTGACAGGTGAGGGCAGGTCCCGGCTGCCAGAGCCCGCCCGGGGCTCCTGCGCTCCTCCGAGGCCACCTGGCTGGCTGGCTGGCTGGCTGGCTGCACTCCCAGCCATCTGGAGCTGCATTCCCACTGGGTACTTGGTTTCCCAAGGCAACTGAGTGCGGCCTGCAGCAGCACTGGCTAGGAGCAGCTCCCTGAAGTGGCCCAGGGCCCAGGGCTCCGGGGCAGCAGCCTGCTGGTCCTCGGGCAGGGATGGATGCGGCCCCTGCCAAACCACCAGCCACTCCTGAGGGAGGCCTGGCTCTGCCCACGGAGGGGGCCGAGCTTCTGCCTTTCCTGGGCATCCCCCGCCCCCTGCACACTGGGGCCCGGGCATCCCC